TTTTTTCTTATGTGGTGCTGAGGAATCGAACCAAGGGCCTCATGCATGCAAGGCAAGCGCTCTACCATTGAGCCACCTTCCCAGCCCAAGGATCATCTTTTATTTACAGTGATTTCTTCTTTTATAGTTGATGGAGAACCTTGTGATTTGTCTTTGAATATAACCTGGTTTCTGAAAAGTGCTGATTGTTACAATGAAATCTACAACTTCAAGGTAAGGAAATTAGACATGTCTTGGACTCTAGAAGTCGTCTAGTTCCAATCTCTTAATTGTATAGATGGAAGAATACACATATAGCTGTGGATGAGCAGAATTATCAAAGCCATGCTACTCGATTTGCAGACCTGCCACATCAGCATTTCTTTTTTCTTTTTTGGCTACTCCTGGGGCTTGAACTCAGAGCCTGGGCATCTTCTCTAAGCCTCTTTTGCCCAAGGCTAGCACTCTTCCACTTGACCCACAGCGCCACTTCAGCTTTTTCTGTTAATGTGGTACTGAGGAATTGAATCCAGGGCTTCATGCATGCTAGAGAAGCACTCTACCTCTGAGCCACATTCCCAGCCCAGCATTTCTGACTTTTTGGTCTCAGAACTCTTTATTTTTGGTGCCAGTATGATGGCTTGAAATTAGGGCCTAATTTTTTGCACAGCCTGCTTGATTATGGCTTTACTGTTTGAGACATGGTTCCAGCTTGGCTTTCTGCTGGTTAATTAAGAGTTTTGCAAACTTTTCTGCCTAGGCTGACTTCAAACCTCAGTTCTCCAGGTCTCAGCCTCCTAAATAGGAGGATAATACAGGAAAGAGCTACCAAAGTCCAGCTTAGAATTCTTAGAGTTTAAAATTATTGTGAATGCCAAAATGTTTTTGTTATTAGTGTTTTTTAGAAATTAAAATTTATTAATTTACTTTAAAAATAATAAGCTTATTCCTTGTTCATATAAATAACTTTTGTTTTTGATGGTACTGTTGTTTGAACTCAGGCTCTGGAGAGCTCAACAACTGAACCATACCTCCAGTCCTGAATTTTCTAGTTTTTTTTTCTTTTCTTGGGTATTTTGTTTTTTGCTTGTTATTTAACATTGGATATCTCATGAAGGAATGAAAGGACTGAAAAATTCTGAAAGAAATGAATGATAATACCTCCAGAATAGGGTTTGGCATATCACTGTTTCTTAATTGATTGCTAATTGAACTTATAGCCAGAGGTTCATACATTTGAATCTTGGTACTGTCTTGTCAAGATCTTGTCTTTATATGACAAGTGATAATTACTTTGAATTGCTCCAGGATTCAGGTATGGAGAATGACAAGCAAAGGATTGTAGGTGCAGCACTGGAGCCTTTCCAAAAGGCAAGATCAGAGATACGGATACTGGAGAAGAAAAAAAAATTACAAAACTAATAGGAAGTCATAGCCATTATATGTGTGTCAAGAGTACCAGCAGTGAGCTATGAATGACTAGGACAGTTTGACACTCCATGTTAGCTTATGAGCACCAGTATATCTTTTGGTAGATTTTGTTAATTAGTCAAATAACTCTTAAATATATTTTCATGTAACTAAAACCCTGTGAACTCTTGATTTCCTGATCCGCCGGAATTGTTAGCAAACTATTGTTTGTGAGTTAAAAAACTATAATTCTGCACTATAAAGTTCACTAATTTTAGGTTCTTAGCTGCTGCTCTATATACAGTCTGGGTACTAATGTATTAATTCTTAAAACAGTAAACTGTAAAGCATGTTTGCACTAAGTATTATGTAAAATATTTATCCTCTAAATGTCTTATTTGTGAAAAGTAAGTTAAATAGTATGTACTCTTTTTTTTTTTTTCTCCTCCAGGCTGAGGAAGTAGAGAAATATTTGGAAAAACTTAGGGAAAAAAGAGGCTTGTCTGGGAAATATCAAACATCCTCAAAGTTGTTCCAGAACTGTAGTGAACTCTTTAAAACACAGGTAATCTTGGAAAGAGGTTGGAATGAAAAAAAGTGCAAAACACAATGCCATTGTTTTTTTCCAGTCTCTTTTTCCAACCTGCTTCTAGGAGAAGTAAGTTGTTCTGCTAGGTGCCTACTTAGCCTTTTTTTTTTTTTAACTGTAGGAATGATACATTATTTTTTTTTTCTTCCGGTTCTGGGGCTTGAAATTAGCACCTAGGCACTATGCCTGAGCCTCTTTGTATTCGAGGCTAGTAGTCTACCATTTGAGCCACTTTGAGCCACAGCACCACTTCCTGCTTTTTCTGAATAGTTTATTGGAGATAAAGAGTCTTAATGGACTTTCCTGCACAGGCTGGCTTTGAACTGTGATCCTCAGATCTCAGCAATTAAAAATCTTTTGTCTGATAATTTTGCATTGTTATTATTTTATTTTTGCCCTTCATGGGGCTTGAACTCAGATCCTGGGCATTGTCCTTGAGCTTCTTTTGCTCAAGGCTAGCACTCTACCCCTTAAGCCACAGTGCCACTTTTGAGTTTTTCTGTTTTTTCTGTTTTACTGAGGAATCAAACCCAGGGCTTCATGTATGCTAGACAAGCACTCCATCACTAAGTCACCTTCCCAGCCCTGCGTTACTGTTTTTACTGTTATGGGCATTATATTTGCTTTAACCGTTTCTAGAAATTTTGACTATATTTCTTTTTTTTTTTGGGGGGGATCCGGTCATGGGGCCTGAACTCTGGGCCTGGGCGCTGTCCCTCAGTTCTTCAGCTCAAGGCTAGCGCTCTACCACTTGAGCCACAGCGCCACTTCCGGCTTTTTTTCTTTTTGCTGATGTGGTGCTGGAGAATCGAACCCAGGGCTTCATGCATGCAAGGCAAGCACTCTACCACTGAGCCACCTTCCCAGCCCCTGGCTATACTTTTTATATGTCTTTAATTTCGTTTCATGTTTCTTTCATAGAGCTTTTCTGGGGATTTTCTGCATCGACTGCCTCTTTTAGGAGAAAAACAAGAGGTAACTATTTGTTTTTTACTTATTTCTTAAAGTAAAAAAAAAAAAACCAAAAACTGAATTATAACTTTTTTCTACTATTTAAAGGCTAAAGAGAATGGAACCAATCTTACCATTACTGGAGAGAGAACTGTAAGTGTATATGAGCATTTGGGGCATTAACGTAGTTTTATGCTCATGAAGATTTGAATTGTCTTCTTAATACGCTGTATTTAAAAAGAAAGTGAAGGCTGGGAGCTAGTAGCTTATGCCTGTAATCCGAGTTACTTGGGAGGCTGAGATCTGAGAACCTTGGTTCAAAGCCATCTCATGAGTCTTATCTCGGAGATAAGACTGCAATGAACCACCAGAGAACTAAAAGTAGTACTGTGGCTCAAAAAGTGGTAGTGTGCTCGCCTTGAGTGAAAAAAGCTCAGGGACAACGTCTAGGTCCTGAGTTCAAGTTCTGTATAACAGTTTGTTTTATGGACTATATACAATAAGCCTGAATTGCTATGGCTTTTTCCCATTTTGTTAAGTGTCTGTAAACATGAATAAATTTATTCAGAAAACCGTAATATAATGCCATCTAAATTTTATCTGTGATAGGATGTAATTAGAAAAAACCTTGCTAAATTGAAATAAGGCCAAAAGCTATATGCTTTTATATTTTCATAAATACATATTATATGGCATCTAATTTCATATTGTAATTTGTAGTAAATAATTCCTCAAAAGTTTTCCAGCCAAAAATATGGAAGTAAGATAGTTAACTATGCTGGGCCAAATGTTTTACAAAGCTGTTTAAAGTTCTTTGGTGGTTTTTGTTTTTTAGTATATTTTTATTATCTTTAAGTAATTGTACAAAGGAGTTAACAAAGCAGTTTATGAATACAGTGAATCCTGATCAGTGTCACTCCTTTCAACATTCTTTTTCCTCTAGGCAATGCACGAACCATTGCAAACTTGGCAAGATGCACCATACATTTTTATTGTACATGTTGGCATTTCATCCTCCAAAGAATCAGCAAAAGAAAATTCACTAAGTAATCTTTTTACCAGTAAGTTCAGTTTGTAACTTTAAGAGTTTGTGTTGCTTTCTTGTTTGTTTCATGTATAGGAGAGAATAAAATTGCTTCATGAGTGGGAATAACTCAGAATGTTTTTGAGCAGTGGAAAGATTGGAGAAAGAAAATATGTTTCTGCATTCAGTATAGCAAGTACAGTCTCAGGCACTTGTTTACAAGTGTTTACAAGTGTCTCAGATATTGAACTTCATTTTCCTTCCCATGGTCCTCCTATGAAAGTGTTTCATTAATGTCATCTTTAAAAAAAAAATAGGTGAAACTTGGTCACCAAGGCAAAACACAGAAAAATTTAATCACCCTTTTTTTTTGTTGTTAATGCTTCAACACCTTTTACTAAGTGTGCTAGTTTTCCTTTTTATAGTTGCTGACCAGTGGAGTCTTCATCTCTCACCTGGAAAATTGTAATAACTTCCTAACTAGTTGCACTGGTTTCTATTTTTGTTTCGTTCTACTTTGCAGTTTCCTTTCCTACCTTGCTTTGTCAAGTAAATATGAATAGACCCATTGATGACAGTCGTTCTTAAATTGTTCTTGACTTCATTGGTACTGTTGGTCCATTTTACCATTAAGTATTTTAACTATAGCTTTTTAAAATACTTGCTACTTAATTGAAAACGTTCTTTATTCTACATTTCCTAAGTATTCTTTTTCTTCCTTTTTTATTAAAAAGCAATGCTGTTTTTATTACTGTTGTTGATATTAAGTAGTACAAAGGGTTACAATTGCATAAGTCAGGTCATGAGTCTAATGCTTCTTCACCCCTGTGATCCCTTCCTTCTTTCTCCCTTATTTTCCCTCTTCCATCCCTATTCTCAGGTTCTGTTGTTCATTTTTTACATAATGTACATTGAGTATAATGACAAATTTACTCAGCCTTCCTCCATTCCTATAGGAATATTCAGCTTTATAATCTAATTTGATTGATTATATTGATTGAAATAACCATATAGTCCAAATTTGATGGTTTATGCCTGTAATACTAGCTCTCTAGGTGGCTGAGGCAGAAGGATTGTAAGTTTCAGGCCAACCTGAGCTATATAGTAAGACACTGAGAGATTTTATATAAGGGCTGGGAATGTGGCTTAGTGCTAGAGTGCTTGCCTAGCATGCATGAAGCCCTGGGTTCAATTTGCCTCAGTACCAAATAAAAAGGCAGGGACTGGAAGTTGGCTCAGTGGTAGAGTGCTAGCCTTGCATGCATGAGGCCCTGGGTTTGATACCTCAGCACCACATAAGCAGAAAAAGCCAGAAGTGGCACTGTGGCTTAAGTGGTAGAACGCTAGCCTTGAGCTGAAGAGCTGAGGGACAGCGTCCAGGCCCAGAGTTGAGGCCCCACAATTGACCCGAAAAAAAAGAAAAGAAAAAGCCTGAAGTGGCGCTTCAAGTAATTCAAGTAGTAGAGTGCTAGCTTTGAACAAAAGAAGTTCAGGGACGGTGCCTGGCCCTGCATCTGGCCCTGAGTCTTTGCCAGCTCCAGGACTGGCAAAAAATTAAAAAAAAAAAAAAGAAAATGTATATAAGTTGCTTATTCAGCATGCTAGTGCATTATATTTACCATTCTTGAGTTTCTGGGATACCACTATTTGATCTTGATATACACATACCTATGTCTACATTCACACTTGCTCATGTGTATACGTTGTTTATGTTCAAAAATTGTATTAAAATTTTCTTTTTTCATACTGTCTTCCTCTGGTTTGGGCATATACGTTAGCCTCATACTATAAATTGGAGAATGTCCCTTGTTTTGTTTTGTTTTTGTGGTTTGAGGAGCTTGAACCCAGGGTCTGGGCGCTGTTCTTGAGATTTTTGTTTAAGTCTAGCACTCTACAGCTTAGAGCCACAGTGCCAGTACCAGTTTTTGAGTGGTAATTGGAGAGAAGAGTCCCATGGGAACTTTTTTGCCTGGGCCAGCTTTGACCCATGATCCTCAGATTCCAGCCTCCTGAGTAGCTAGGATTACAGGTGTGAGCCACTGTGCCCAGCTGGGCCTGAGGTCTTTATTAATTATACCTAGAATTTGTCCAATTAATTATAGTCTTAAAATAGTCGAAAGTAATTTTATCAAAATTACTCAAAAGAGAAGTTTGCTTCAGTAAGGTAAATTTCAGGTTCATGTTGTTGTTTTCTTTTTATTAACTTAAATACTTATTAGCAAAGTTTTTGAAAAAGATACCTAAAAAGGTTTGGTTAAGTTAAATTCTGATTTATTGGATGATGCTTTGCCTCCATCTGAACTGTTGAATTTTTCTACTTGGAAGTGTTGGAGTTTTTCCATTTGGGATACAAGATGAGAAGCTGGATTATTTTCTATTTTATTGTGCCAGGAGAAATACATTACTTGTATTAGGCAACATAAATTTGTCAAAAAGTTTTAAATGCCTTAATTTTGAAAATGATACATTAATGGTACTAGATCACATGAATTGAAGACAGTAAAATACACAGCAATAGGAGAATACAAGTAAGAGTGACAGAAACCAACATGATAGGGTAAAGAGAAAAAAACCTATAAAACATATTAGTGAGCCAGGTGCTATGGCTGTAGTCCCAACTACTCAGGAGGCTGAAATCTGAGGATCACAGTTCAAAGCCAGCCTGGGCAGCAAAGTCCATGAGACCTCATTTCTGATTAGCTACCAAAAAGCTGGAAATGGAGCTGTGACTCAAATGGTAGAGCACTGGCCTTGAGCACAAAAGCTTAGGTATAGTGCCCTGGCCCTGAGTTCAAGCCCAGGACTGGACCAAAATAAATAAATAAATAAATAAAAACCTATTAGTGTGCTGTAAGAGAACATACATGAATTGTGTCTGGAATTTAGAGGAGTTGAGCAGCTCAGAAAAAGTTTCATGTGGAGTACCATTCATTCTAGGATGAGTCTGGGGAAAGAACTTTTCTACTTCACACAGGGGCAGGGACATGGAACCCTGTACGACCCAAAGCATATACTCTGAGAATATTTGATTCATTGTGCATTGCATACATAATGCAGTATTTACCAGGATTGACATGGTCAAGTGTGAATGACCCAATGAAATTTGCATTAATTTCATCAAGCAGATAGTAGATAATATTTTCTTTTCATGTGTGAATATGTTAAACTAATTCTGAGGCCTATATTTTGGCAGTGACTGTTGAATTGAAGGGTCCCTATGAATATCTCACACTTGAAGATTACCCACTGATGATTGTAAGTGAACTTAATATTTTTAGCCTTGACATTTAAATGAATTTAGCAGTATGTATATAAGTTCATATTTAGAAAACCCCTGTAAGCCTCTATATTTTATCTCAGTTATTTCAGTATTTTTTTATTTTTTTGCCCATTCTGGGGATTGAACTCGGCCTGGGCTCTGTCCCTGAGCCCCTCTGTGTTCAAGACTAGTGCTCAACCACTTGAGCCACAGCACCACTCCCAGCAATTTCTGAGTAGTTTACTGGAGATTAGAGTCTCATGGACTTTTCTGCCAGAGCTGGCTTTGAACCACAATCCTCAGATCTCAGCCTCTTGAATAGCTAAGATTACAGGCATGAGCCACCAGTGCCCAGCACTTGAGTATTTTAAACTTGTAAAGTAATAACTCAGTGATCATCTCATGTCTGACATTCACAAGGGTCCATCTTGATATCACCCTCTATTTCTGAGCTCACTTAGAGTAACAAAAGGGTTCAGTGTCCTTTCTTCAGTGTGTGTGTGTGTGCACACGTGTGCGCATGTGTGTGTGCGTGTGCGCATGTGTATGAGCATATGCCTTTATCTAAGAATATCTTTAATCGATTTTCAGACTTCTTGGTCATGATTGTTCTTGTATTGCTTTCCTAATAAGTTTATGTTTTTGTTTAGTTCATTGCTTTGAGGTGTAATCTTCATCCTGCCACAACTTTTTCATTGTCTTCATTTGTATAATTTGCATCATGAACTGAAAAGGCTGTTAATACACTCTTGAAGACAAGTCCTTATATTGTCTGCATCTGTTCAAGAGATGATTTTTTGATTTTTTTTATATTAAGCTCCAAAGAAATAATTATTTTTCAAATTGAGAGCAGAATACATGGCTTTAAAAAATTTAGTTTATTAAGAATGTATATTAGTTTTTAATTTAGATACTTGGTTCTTGGCCCTAACTCTCCTTTTTATTTCTTACCCAATCGGATGACAGTTTTTCATGGTGATGTGCATTGTATATGTCCTGTTTGGTGTTCTGTGGCTGGCATGGTCTGCCTGCTATTGGAGAGATCTCCTGAGAATTCAGTTTTGGATTGGTGCTGTTATCTTTCTTGGAATGCTTGAGAAAGCTGTCTTCTATGCAGAATTTCAAAATATCCGATACAAAGGAGAATCTGGTATGTAATTAACATGATATTTGAGTGATTGGTTCATTGTAGAAAAATTTTCTTAAGGTCAGCAGTCATTACATAGTACTGTCTTTTTAATTAGTCATTTACCTAAGTAGAATCAGTATGATTATGATTTATTAATCTTGTAGTTTATGAATTTGGTGATATAAGAAAGATTTGCTGAAATATGCTTGGAAAAATTACAAAAGTAGTGGTCTTTGGGGAATGAGAATTGTCATCATTAAGCACCATTATTATATAAATGTAAGAAAGGAAACAGTTCCGATGTAATTGTAAGCTGCCTTAAGTTGCAAGACAGGCCTTATTTCATGTGTGTGTGTCAGGAGGTGGGGGTTATGTCTAAGAATTGATAAAAATGCAGTAATACCAAGAAGATAGAAAGGGGCTTATGGTTAGTAAGGTAAACAGTTTGTTATAGATATTGTTTGGTTCTGAAACTTACTGAAACAGCTTCAGTTCTATCAGATCATTTGATTATTTTATAATTATAGTTCCAAGATGTACTAATTAGATCTTTTTCTTACCTTTGAAATAGCTTGACAATAGATATAAAGCTGAAAAGCACACATGTTCATGTATGCATATTGTGTGCTTTTCCATATAGTAACAACTATAGTTCATAGATTTTAAAATGATAAATTCCCTGATATGGGGTGAATTAGTGAAGTTGAAGGGTTTGGTAGAGTGAATCAGGTGGAAAATGAGTTACGCACACCCACATTGCTATACACATGAGTAAGATTATCAGTTTATATGTTTGTAAAAATTTCAGAAGAGGCATTCGTGTTGTAGTAGGACTAATACCAGTGCCTATTTTGAAGAAAGTCAGGTCTACATTATGGTATTGGAATTGCATCTTTGGCTGGGCCTAGAATATAGCCCCATTTCTCTTTCTTCCTATAGTTCAAGGTGCCTTAATCCTTGCAGAGCTGCTTTCTGCAGTGAAACGTTCACTGGCTCGAACCTTGGTTATCATAGTCAGTCTGGGATATGGCATTGTCAAGTAAGTATTAAATCCAGTAGAAAAATAAATGAAAGTGATACTTAAAACACTGTTGCTGCTTTCAAAGTGCTGTACTTCTGCCAAAATTCTATGAAAGAAGTAATTTTGAGCTAAAAGAAGGCACCCGTAATTCTGTAGTATTGGAAATGTTGGAAAAGTGTGGCTCTTTCACTTTATAGAACTCAAGGCATATCTATAGATATGCAGTCTAAACCTCCAAAGTAATGAATGTTGGCGCACCCAACTTTTAGAGTAAAATTTTCTTTATGCATATCAGATTATTTTGTAGGAACAATGGGCTCACTGAAACTATTATTTTTCTTTTACTGAATAACTGAAGTTTTGTGTGTGTGTGTGTGTGTGTGTGAGAGTGTGAGAGTGTATTTGTTGTTGTTGTTGTTGTGTTTTGGTCAGTTGGGGAGCCTGAACTCTGGGTCTGGGTGCTGTCCCTCAGCAATTCAGCTCAAGATTAGCGCTCTACCACTTTGAGCCACAGTGCCACTTCTGGGTTTTTCTGCTTATATGGTGCTGAGGAATTGAACCCAGGGCCTTATGCATGCAAGGCGAGCACTCTACCACTGACCACCTTCCTAGCCCCAGAAGTATATTTTCATGCTAAATCCAACTTGAAGTATTTTTTATTTAGAGAAAATAAAGAATATACTATCCCACTATAATCAAATTGTTACTCCTTTTGTACTCTTTATTTTCTTCATTTGGCAGTACTTAGGATTGAACTCAAAGACTCATACTGCTAGGCATGCTTTTTTTTTTTAAAGGTAGGTTATAGGGCTTAAACTCTGGGCCTGGGCTCTGTCCCTGAGCTCTTCAGCTCAAGGCGAGCACTCTACAACTTCTCATTTTCTGGTGGTTAATTGAAAGTCTCATGGACTTTCCTGCCCCTGTAAAGGCTGGCTTTGAACCTCAATCTTAGATCTCAGCCTCCTGAGCAGCTAGGATTTCAGGCATGAGCCACAGGTGCCTGGCTAGGCATGTATTTTTACCACTGAGCCAATCTTTATTCAGTAAAATTACTTTATTCAGCCCAGTGCAGTGGCTCAAGATGCTAAGATATGAGGATTGTGGTTTAAAGCCAGCTCAGGCAGAAAAGTCCTCAAGACCATATCTTCATTTAACCAGCAAAAATACTACCTTCGGGGCATTACTGAAGTAGTAGAGGGCTAGCAAAAGGTCTTGAATTCATATCTCAGCATACACACACACACAAGTACTAATCATACATACTTCTTCATTCTGTCTGTATATAGCTTGCTGTAACTTTTTTAAAAGTTTTTTTTTTTTGCTCAAAAAATTTATTGAATACATTGTTTAGGCATTGTTTAGGTCTTGGGTATACAGCAAAGGAAAGATTTAGCATTTACATTTATTTGTGGAGAAGTAGGGCACAGACACAATTGTTAATAAGAGAGTAAAATATGTTCTTTGTCAGTAAAAAGTTGTAAGCAGAGAAAGCAAGAAGGGGGAAGCAGAATGCTAGTGGTGCTGGGTGAGTGCTGGGGCTTACTTTTGGAAGTAGGGGGTTCAGGGAGGCCTCACTTCACGATATTTGAGCAAAGACGTCAAGGAGTTGATGGGGCTGTATATACACCCAAGGGAAGAGATGCTGAGATGTGATGAGATTCTGTATATGTTTTGAAGGTAGAACCAGAGGAATTTCCAGATGAATCAGAGGTGTGATGTGAAAGAGAAGAGGAATTCAGGATGGTGCCAACTATTTGGTCTGATCAGGTGGCAGGAGGGGTAGACATTTGCCAGGTTCTGGAAGATTTTAGATGAACAGATTTGGGGCAGTGGGGGGGGTGGGGAGAGTGTTGAGATCAGAGAGTTATATCTATATGGGCAGAAATTTAGTTTGGGAATCCTCAACATACAGATATTATTTAAAGCTATGAGACTGGATGTAGACCCCAAGGAATTGATATAAAAAGCAAAAGATCCACAGAAGGGCTCTTGGACATTTTTTGTCCTTTAGAAGCAGTGATGTGGAGTTAGAGGAAATTGAGGAGTGATCCTGGAGGTGGGAGGCAGAATGAAGACTGTCTCAAGGAGGAGTGCTTAGTGTTTTTTTTTTTTGTGAGTTGTAGGGCTTGAACTCAGGGCCCAGGCACTATCCCTGAGCTCTTTGTGCTCAAGGCTAGCATTGTACCACTTTGAGCCACAGTGTCACTTGCGGTTTTCCAGAGGTTTAATGGAGATAAGGAACAACTTTCCTACTTGGGCTGGCTTCAAACTGCAGTCCTCATATCTCAGCCTCCTGAGCAGCTAGGATTATAGTCACAGGTCACAGGCACCAACCATGGAGTGCTTAGTTCTGTCAGTGCTTCTGATTCAGCTAGTGGGAAGATTGAGAATTTACCATTGGATTTCTTAACATGGAAAGTGTTAGTAATCATAATAACTGCAGGTTTGGTGAAGTCAGAGGGACAAAAGCCCAATTGGAGAGAGTTCCAGAGAGAATTGGAATTAACCAAATAGACACTTTAAGGAATTCAGTCTTATTACAATTAGAGGAATGGGAGAAGGGAGTATAATTCTTAAATTTTGTTCATTTAGCAAATATTTAATTGCCTCCTAATATATGCAGGGAAATACTCAAGACACACAGTAGCAGGAAATTTTTCTGCCTTTATAGAGGTTGACCTGGTATATAACAAAAAATACATACATCTAAGACTTAGGCAGATATGATATAAGCCAGTACATTTAAAACTACTATATTAGGGCTGGAAAGTTGGCTCAGGGGTAGAGTGCTTGCCTTGCATGCCTGAGGCCCTAGGTTCGATTCCTCAGCACCACATAAGCAAAAAGAAAAAAGCTGGAAGTGGTGCTGTGGCTCAAGTGGTAAGAGTGTTAGCCTTGAGCTGAAGAGCTGAGGGACAGCGCTCAGGCCCAGAGTTCAGGCCCCACAACCGGACCCCCCCAAAAAAAACAAGAAAACTACTATATTAGTGAATCACCTGGAAATCTTGTCAAAATGTAGATTCAGAATTTGTAGGATTTTTAATATTAAAGATATAAGGCTTTTCATCCTTCTTACTGAAATTGCTCAAAAGACTTGACTTGCATATGCACTTTTTATTTGGTGAATTAAAATAGGTATTTGGTTATTGTTAACACTTCTAGAGTTTATAATGATATTTTGGTTATTTATGTTAGTTAAAAGTCCTGTTAAAAGACACATTGCCGGGCTGGGAAGTTGGCACAGTGGTAGAGTGCTTGCCTCGCATGCATGAGGCCCTGGGTTTGATTCCTCACCACTACATTAGCAGAAAAAAGTGGGAAGTGGCACTGTGGCTCAAATGGTAGAATGCTAGCCTTGAGCTGAAGAGCTGAAGGACAGTGCCCAGGGCCAGAGTTCAGCCCCCACTACTGACAAAAAAACAAAAAGCAAACAAACAAAAAAGACACATTGCAAAACATATAGAAACAAAAAATGTATTTGCTTTTCGATACTATGAAAAGATGGCAAGTGAATGGACTGTGTATGGAGTGGAATTGTTTATATGTTGGTAATTGTTGGGTCTGGAGGGTGGATGGGTTTATTTATAATAAAAAGCTTTTGGGGTTTTGTTTTGTGTCAGTTCTGGGGTTTGGACTCAGGGCCTGGGCATTGTCACTAAGTTTTTGCTCATTGCCAGCGTTCTATCACTTGAGCCACAGCACCATTTCTTGCTTTTTTTAGTGGTGGTTGTTAGTCATGGAGGTTGAACTCTGGGCCTTTGTGCTGTCCCTGAGCTCTTCAGCTCAAGGCAAGTGCTCTACCACTTGAACCACAGCGCCACTTTGCATTTTCTGATGGTTTATTGGAGATAAGATTCTCACGGACTTTCCTGCCTGGGCTGGCTTTGAACTGTGATCCTCAGATCTCAGCATCCTGAGTAGGATTAAGAGTCTCGTGAGCTAGGCACCAGTGGCTCATGCCTGTAATCCTAGCTACTCAAGAGGCTGATGTCTGAGGATCACAATTTGAAGCCAGCCCAGGCTGAAAAGTCTGTGAGACTCTTTATCTCCAATAAACTGCTCAAAAAAAGCCAGAAGTGGCACTGTGGCTCAAGTGGTAGAGTGCTAGCCTTGAACACAAAAAGGGACAGTGCCTAGGCCCTGAGTTTAATCCCCAAGTCTGGGAGGGTGGGAGGGGAAGAAGTTTCATGGATTTTTCCTGCCCAGATTGGCTTCGAACCATGATCCTCCTGAGTACCTAGGATTACAGGCATGAGCCACCAGTACTTGCTTTTTTTTTCTTTTTAAATTAGTACTAGGGACAACATCTTAAGTTCTAGTACTCTATCTTGTAAGGCCATGTGTTACTAAGAGTTTTCTTGTCTCAGGTATGTCCTTGTTACCAGTAAATTTTTGGTCTGCACTAATTAACATGGGCTGCTGTTGCTTAGTTTGCCTTGCGCTTTGTCTCATATGCTCACTCCACTGTCTCTGCTTCCATTTTAGGCCTCGCCTTGGAGTCACTCTTCACAAGGTTGTGGTAGCAGGAGCCCTTTATCTTTTGTTCTCTGGCATGGAAGGGGTCCTCAGAGTTACAGGGGTCAGTACTGCTTAGCCTCAATTTTGTCGTCACTTCAGTTTCTTGTTGCTTTGAGAGGATGCATTAGAAGTATTTATGTGCTACTTTACTGTTTTCTTCTGTCACCTATGGGCAAAATGCATATTGAATATTCCTTTTCTGAAGTGTGAACTAGAAGCATTCCTGATTTCGTAAGTTTTCAGATTTTGCAATGTTGGCATAAGTTATTCATTGAGCATGCTAATTTAGAAACCCAGAATTTGAAATGCTTCAACATCTGAATTTTTTTGTTGTTGTTGTAGATTTGGGGGCAGGGGAGATGTTGGGGACTAGGGATGTTCAAACTGTAATTCTTTTTTTAATCTGACCTATTAGAGTTTTACAAGTTTAACATGTGACTCATAAGGAGTTCTTTTTTTACTTATTCCCAGATCAGAATTTAGTTCCTTCTCTAAGGCAACAGACTCCCACGTATGTGTCAAACATTGGAAACATGCACTTAATGGTTAATCTGATCTAAAGTTCCAGTGCTCTTTGCTTACCCAGCACTTTAGATTTCAAGATTTCTTTAAAGTGATGTTTCCCAGCTATTGAAGTTTCTTACTTTCTTTGAGAATTGTATATTCCCTTTGTCAAGTAAGAAAACCAAAGCAGGGCTGGTAATGTGGCTTAGTGGTAGAGTGTTTTCCTAGCATACATGAAGCCCTGGGTTTGATTTCTTAGTATCACATAAGCAGAAAAAGCCACAAGTAGCACTGTGGCTCAAGTGGTAGAGTGCTAGCCTTGAGCAAAAGATGTTTAGGGACAGTGCCCAGGCCCTGAGTTCAAGCCCCAGGACTGTGGAGAAAAAACAAAAGACAAATCACTGAGATCTAAATGATAAAGAAAATTGTTGTTAGAGTTGGATTAATATGGGCATTCCAGTTATTTTCTTATTTAAAAATCGAGTCCAATAGCCTTTTAGATTTAAGGTGTTAAATTTTTTAAACTTGGCTCTGCCCTCAATGATAGTGGGCTCGTTAGGTTTTGCAGTATTTTCCCTTGAATAAAATATTTTGTAATTGCAGATTTGTTTTCGACCCATGCTATCTTCTGTATGTTATGTAATTTTCTTAGACTTTTAGCAGCTTTAACCTCTTGTCAATTTCATTTTCTTTCTTTCTTTCTTTCTTCTGCTGCTGTTGTAGTATTTTTCTTATTCCTTGGCTATGATAGTAAGCCTGGTCCTCTCAGCACTTGATGCCTGTATTATTTTATGGATATCCTTTCAATAATGTCCTGATGATTAGGACTATATAAAAAGTATTAATATCCTAGGATGAGCTGTTTGTAAAATTTCGTTATGTTATAATGCTGGACATCAGTGATCATTATTATTAATGTTGCAGCTGTTTGTGTAAAATGGGAGGAGGGTCTTTACTAGGACTTTTTGGTATTGTCATCTCTTTCATGGTCTTAGTATGCTAGAACCTCGGGCCAGTTGCCTCTGGTGGTTAGCTGCAGTTTCATTATACTGAGATTTTAATCAACAATTTGTGTGAAATATTTAAAATTGTATGTTCTACTCAAAGTTTTGTAAGAAGAGAAAAATGATTAGATATCTTTGAGTTCAAATGTCAGACCACTTCAGATGTTATGTAAACGCAGAATTGTTACTGCTTCCTTCTCTGTGCCTCTCTCATTGGCTGTTTTTCCCCACCTCTTTTTCTTTGTCTGCAGGCCCAGACTGATCTTGCTTCCTTGGCCTTTATCCCCTTGGCTTTCCTAGACACTGCCCTGTGCTGGTGGATATCCTTCTCATTGGTCCATTTTCTCCCCTTGGAGATAGGTTTCCATTCATCTTTCTGCAAAGAGGTTTTGCCCATTTTGTTGATTTCTCCTTGATCTTGGAAATGGTATATTTTAAGTTTGAATAGCTTGAAGGGTGAGGTAAATGGATTTTTTGTTCTTTCTTTCTTTTTAAATTCTTAACAATCATAGCATTGGGTGGCTGAGCGTAAGATGAAAGATTCTGGCTTTTCTCTTTCTAAAATGATTTCAGATTTTTTATGTACTTCATTTGGTGTTATAATCACAGTTCGTGCTGGCCCTGCTTTTCCTTTATCCTCTAGTATTAAACACTTTGAAAAAAGCTTGATCTCAAAATGTGGTTTTAGAATGACATAAAGAGTTTAAATCTTTTCAAATCTCAATTCTTAAGAGGTTTTTCTTTCATTCAAAACTATATTTGAGATTGCCTAAATACTTCCACCCTCAATAAATAAATATAGATTCATTTATAGGCAACATTAACCAGCAGATAAACAAATACTTTGAATACTTTTTTTCCTCCTCAAAATTAAACATTTGTTGGTTAGGGATTTTGCATTTGGGTTGAAGGGTTCAAGTTTTTGGGTTTCATCTTTTTTGGCATTATTTTGAGTCTATTTTGATTTTTATATATTGGTCCATATACGCAATTGTACAACATTACTGTCTTGATATATCAAGTATAATAAAAAGCAGAACATGAACAAAAATATAATTTTGTGAATTTGAATAGATTGCAATGTAGCAAAAAAGATTAAAATCAAAGTATATTGGGTCTACCCGACCAAAACTTTTCTAGATCTGTCTTTTCAGGTCTATCTTGTGAGTATGAAGAAAGAATTGGAGTTAAGTAATAGTGAAGACTGATAAAGAGAACAGGTTCCAAGTGTTATTTATTTATTGCCAGTCCTATGGTTTGAACTGAGGACCTGGGCACTGTCCCTGAGCTTTTTTTTTTTTTCCCCCGGTCAGTGATGGGGCCTGAACTCTGAGCCTGGACGCCGTCCCTCAGCTCTTCAGCTCAAGGCTAGCACTCTACCACTTGAGCCATAGCACCACTTCTGGCCTTTTCTGCTTATGTGGTGCTGAGGAATCAAACCCAGGGCCTCGTGCATGCAAGGCAAGCTCTCTACCACTGAGCCACCTTCCCAGCTTCCTGAGCTTTTTTTGCTTAAGGCCAGCACTCTACCACTTGAGCCACAACACCACTTCCAGCTTTTTCTGTTGGTGTGGTACTGAGGAATCAAACCCAGGGCTTCATGCATGCTAAGCAAGTACTTTACCACTAAGCCACATTACCAGCCCCCAAGTCTCTTATTTTTATATCTGTACCTCATTTTGAAAGTTGGGCATGAGAGAAGATATCAGTAGTCATCAGTTCTCTTTTGTCCTTCAGTGATAACGTCTCCTTGGGAGTAATGTTCTGAAAATGGAGAATCACTGTTTTCGACTCTTAGGTACCTAGAATGCTTAGACAATTGGTTGTTCCTCTTTATTTACAGTAGCACAGGACATGTAGCACTTTCATAAGATGGCATAGGGTAAAGGGAGGAGACATTGAGTGTAGAACCCTGGTTAGTTGATGCCAAGTAAAATTATGAGGCTACACTGGATTAACTGGGCAGGATAAGAATAGAATCACTCATCTTGAAGATGGTATTAATGCTTGCCACTCAATTTTATCATTTGCCTTTTTTATTTTTTAAAAATTTTCTAGAAAACCTGATCCTATCTTTCTTTTTCTTTTTTTAAATATTTTCCTCTTTTATTTTTGCATTTTTTCCAGTTGCATCTTATCCCTGTTTTATATTTTCTTCAATGTTTTACTGGAAATTTAATCTTAGGAGGATTGGAATGTTTGTGAGATAAAGTGAAACTAGGAGAACTTAAAAGTCTCTTGATATCTGTAGCTATTGTTATGACTGCAGATCCTCAAAGAAATCTGAGGATTCAATTATTTAGCTTTCTAAATGTTTAATTCCTTGACCTGCAAACACATATTTATTAGCCTGACTCAAACAATGAAGCTGTTAAAACTTCGGAGGAACATTGTAAAGCTGTCTTTGTACCGGCATTTCACCAACACGCTTATTTTGGCAGTGGCGGGTAAGTCTGGGACTTTCTTTTGTTTTGATGTAACCTGGATTCTTTTAGAACGGAGATTATTAATCTGAGAGGCCATGAGTAGGCACGGAAAATTTTATACATTTTGCTAGGGGAAGGATTTTTTAATTTTGGATTCCTTATATTTGTTGCTATAGCAAGCATTTATGCTATCGAGTACATAATTTATGTAATCATCCCAAATTACATGTTCAAGTTGTTTAGCTGATTTCTTAGTTTAAATCTTCCTTGTGCCTTGAACCTCAATCTCTTTTTTTTTTTTTTTTGGGTCCAGTCATGGGGCCTGAACTCTGGACCTGGGTGCTGTCCCTCAGCTCTTCAGCTCAAGGCTAGCGCTCTACCACTTGAGCCACAGCATCACTTCCGGCTTTTTTCTTTTTGCTTATGTGGTGCTGAGGAATTGAACCCAGGGCCTTATGCATGCAAGGCAAGTGCTCTACCACTGAGCCACCTTCCCAGCCCTGAACCTCAATCTTCACATTACAAGAAATCTATGTGACATCACAGTGGATTAGTGAACAGCGCCCACTTTCACATCAGTGCTCAGTGTTGTAAAATGAAAAGAAATTACCATTTCACAAACCCTGATATATGCATAGATACATCCTTACTGATTGCCCTGCTACATGAAAAGGAAGAACCTCCTTGATTTCAATTTAAGTTTTTTGTTGTTCTTGTAAAAAAAAAAAATTATTTTTTTGGGGGGTCCGGTCACGGGCCCTGAACTCTGGGCTTGGGCGCTGTCCCTCAGCTCTTCAGCTCAAGGCTAGTGCTCTACCACTTGAGCCACTTCCGGCTATTTTTCTTTTTTGCTTATGTGGTGCTGAGGAATCGAACCCAGGGCCTCATGCATGCAAGGCAAGCGCTCTACCACTGAGCCACCTTCCCAGCCCTGCATTCATATTTTTCATCTAACCATACACTAAAAAAAGCGTTATATTGATAATGCTAGAAGAGGTATTTCCAGTAGCTTCTCTTCCATTTCTGGTTGAAGAGTTACTAATGTTGCCAGATAGTCAATAAGCATAAAAAGTATGGGTAAGAATATGTATTCTGAATCTTCGTTATAGCAGCAAATTTGTATTGAATATATATGGGAAAATTATTAATAGGAAGTGTTTGTGATATATGTCATCAAGGATGTATGTATGGAACTCCACTTAACCACGATCAGTGAGTGAATGTAACTGAGGATGTAAGCCGATTCATGTTCTGACCAAGATTTTTCTTTTCATACTAGCTTCTATTGTGTTTATCATCTGGACAACCATGAAGTTCAGGATAGTGACTTGCCAGTCAGTAAGTTATAAGAGCACACATTAATTAACAGTATACTATACTCATACACAAAGATGCTGGTTATAGTGGGAAGATGCATAAACTTCATGTAAGAAATTAAGGTTAGCCAGGTGCTGATGGCTGAGACCTGAGAATCTTTGTTCAAGATCAGCCCAGTCAGGAAAGTCCATGAGACTCCTGTCTCCAATTAAGTGGTAGAGTGCTAGCCTTGAGCAAAATTGCTCAGGGACAGAGCCCAAGGAGTTCAAGCCCAACAACTTACCAAAAACAAACAAGAAAATTAAGACTAGATCTCCACTCTGAGGATTTTAATACTGTCTTCAATGTTCTTTCCATCATGGTACACGATATGGTAGTTGGTTTCTTTTTTTTGGTCAGTCGTGGGGCTTGGGCCGGGGCTGTGTCCCTCAGCTCTTTAGTGCTATACCACTTGAGTCACAGTGCCACTTTTGGTTTTCTAGTGGTTTATTGGAGGTGAGAGTCTCACAGTCTTTCCTGCCCGGGCTGGCTTTGAACCGCGATCCTCAGATCTCAGCCTCCTGAGTAGCTAGGATCACAGGCGTGAGCCACCAGCGCCCGGCAGGTTCTTTTTTTTAACTGTATAAAATGCTTCCCAAAGATGGCCATGATTGTAATCCTAGCTACTCAGGAGGCAGGAAAGTCTGTTAAACTCTTTTTTTTTTTTTGTCGGTTGTGGAGCCTGAACTCTGGCCTAGACACTGTCCCTTGGCTCTTCAGCTCAAGGCTAGCACTCTACCACTAGAGTCATAGCTCCACTTTTGGCTTTTTCTGCTTATGTGGTGCTGAGGAATCGAAGCCAGGGCCTCATGCGTGCAGGGCAAGCACTCTACCACTGAGCCATCTTCCCAACCCCATCTGTTAAACTCATCTCCAATTAGCTACCAAAACAACTAGAAGTTGAACTATGGCTCAAGTGGTAAAGAGTCCTGTGCTAGCATTGAGCTAGAATGCTAGTGCCCAGGCACTGAGTTTAATCCCCAGTGCCAGCGCCAAAAGTATAAACAAATGAAAACAATAAAAAGCACCATTCCCTAGGGTCTCAGAGCTGTGTTGCAGCTCTGACAAGTACTGTTTTCCCTTGATGCTGATCTTTTAAAATAGCACTGCAAGGGGAAAAAAAACTGCACATTCCATCACTGGATGTACCCAGCACTTAGTACAGTGCCTAGCACACAGCAGGCTTTTAGAAAATGTAACAAGGGCATGTAAGTGAGTGATTCTTGCTTATGCTGAGAGATTTGTTTGTAAATGTTACTTCACCCTTTATTGTAGGACTGGCGAGAGCTATGGGTAGACGATGCCATCTGGCGGCTGCTGTTTTCCATGATCCTCTTTGTTATTATGGTTCTCTGGCGACCATCAGCAAACAACCAGAGGTTCTTATACTCTATTCTGTTAACCATTAAATGGCCATTTCATCCATTAAGGTTGAACGTTAGGGAACAGTTTTAAAACTGTGTCATATAGTTGAAGGAATACCCAGTTAAATTGGGATCCTAGCTTAAGTCTCCTGTTAACTTGATTTGTGTTTTTTCTTACCTGCTTTCTCTTTTACTTCTTTGGGCCTTAGAGTTCCTTTTTATTTAATGAATGGGGAATAAAATCAATTAACAATGAAGATCTTTGGAACTTCTGACATCATTAGGCACGTGAGGGCTTTCTGAAGGGAAAGAGTTAAACCCTAATTGGAGCTTGCAGTTTTAGTAATAATTCCCCTGAATTGAGATAGTGGAGCAATGTTTGTAGTTTTCTCACTTTTCCTTCTGTTTTGATTTTGTTTTGTCAGGTTTGCCTTCTCACCATTGTCAGAGGAAGAGGAGGAAGATGAACAGAAGGAACCCATGCTAAAAGAAAGCTTTGGTAGTGATAAAGTTCACCTTATCATTATTATTATTATTACTTTTGTCAGTTGTGGGGGTTGAACTCTGGGCCTGAGCGCTGTCCCTCAGCTCTTCAGCTCAAGGCTAGTGCTCTATCACTTGAGCTACAGCACCGCTTTCTGTTTCCTGGTGGTTTTATTGGAGATAAGAGTTTTGAGGACTTTCCTGCCCTGGCTGGCTTTAAACTGCGATCCTCAGATCTCAGCCTCCTGAGTAGCTAGGATTACAGGCGTGAGCCACCGGCACCCAGCTAAAGTTCACCTTTTACTTGTTTTTTAAGTTTTTTTTTTCACCTAAGTACATTATTTTTTTATTTTATAGATTATTGTTCCTTTGTATGTGGTAAAGTTAGGTTGAAGAGAAAATAGGATGAAGCTATAATAAATTGAGCAAGTAATTCCAAATTATTTGTTTGATTTTTTTTTTGCTAGAAATAAGGAGGAAATTTAGTTTGAAATTCCTGGTATATAAGATAGAAATGGCTAGGAATGTTGCTTAGTGGCAGAGTGCTTAGTGGTAGAGTGCTTGCCTAGCATTCATGAAGCCCTGGATTTGATTCCTCAGCACCACATAAACAGCAAAAGCTGGAAGTGATGCTGTGGCTTAGGTGGTAGAGTACTACCCTTAAGCAAAAAAAAGCTCAGGATCAGTGGCCAGGCCCTGAGTTCAAGCTCCAAGCCTGGCCAAAAAGAAAAGAGAAGAAAGTATCTAAGTATCTGTTGTATAATTTACACTAAGCTTAGAATACATCTCTTAAATCTATTTTTGCTATCATTGCTGATCTACTATAAAGTTAATTAGTTGGTTTCGTTCTTTTTTTTTTCCTTCTACAGAAGGAATGAAAATGAGAAGTACCAAACAAGAACCAAATGGAAATAGTAAAGTCAGCAAAGCAGTAAGTATGCCTTTTTAATCTTTGTCAAGCCATCAATATCTGGCCTATAGTCCTACCTACTCAAGCAGCTAATATCTGAGAATCAGTTCATACTCAAACCTGGTGGACAAATCCAAGAGACTTATATCTAACCAGCAAGAAGTTACAAGTAGAGGTATGTCTCAAGTTGTATAGTGACAGCTGTTAGTGAAAAAAGATGAGCAAGAGTATAGAGTATAAGGCTTGGAGTTGATGTCCTAGTACCAGCCTAAAAAAAGAAAAAGAAAAAAAAAAACGACTAAAAGCAAAAAGGCCTTGGCATGAAGGGCTGACTTAACTGGTAGAATGTCTACTTAGTACTATGAGTGAATGAACTCAAACTCTAGTTTTCCATAAAATAAAAAAGAAAAGCATGAACTAAATTAACTGTGTAGGAATATGCTACATCAAAGAAATGAAATACCTGAAAACTATAAAACACAGTTGAAAGAGATTGAAGAAAATGAAAATAAATGGAAAGACAAACTGTGTTCATGGATTGAAGGTGTCTATACTACCCGAAGCATCAGTGTAATTGCAACCAAAATTCTAATAACACAAGTGAGATGCCAGTGGCTCATGCCTGTAATCCTAGCTACTTAGTTAATTGAGATCTGAGTATTGCAGTTCAAAGCCAATCTGGGCAGGAAAATATGAAACTCTTATCTCCAAGTAACTATCAAAAAGTCTGAAATATGGCTTTGGCTGAAGTGGTGGAGCACTAGCTTTTAAGCTTTAAGCAAAAAAAGGTGGGGTGGAGGATTTAGAGGTGTACATAGTTGGTAAAGCACTAGCCAGTGAGTGAAAGCATCTGGTCTCAGACCACAAAAAGAGGCCAGGTATAGCACCCACACCCTGAGTTCAAGACCCAGGACCCACACACACAAAATTACAATAATATTTTTCCCAGAAATAAGCAACCTATAATTTATTAGGATCCAAACCCCAAATAGCCGAGGGTATTCACAATGACCTCAAAAAGTCAAAGCACTCTTCAGCAAAAGAACAATGAACCATCAATACTTACAGAATGATTATTACCATGAAGACAACAAAATACAAGTGTTACTAAGAATTTAGAGTAAACAGTAACTGGCAGGATTTTGATGAGAATGTAGATTAGTATTGCTGTTCTATAGATGGAGTGAAGGTTTTGGGGCCTCACGGTTGCCACCCTAGCACTCTACCACTGGGCCATTCCTCAATCTTTTTACTTGTACTAGCTTCCTCCTCTCCTTTCCCTCCTCCATGCCACCAGCCCAGCTATCAACTGAGGAAGGTTCTTGTGAATTTTTCTGCCTGTGCTGATTCTTAGCCTCACATGTACCTAGAATTACAGGTATAATATACCTGTACCTGGTAGAAGTTTCTCGAAACTTAAAAATAGAATTACAATATGATCTAGAAATCCTATCCATGGGCATAGATCCAAAAGATATCTGCATTCCTAGGTTCATTGCAACATTCACAATAGCAGAGATAATCAGTCACAAATGTCAATCAGTAGATGGCTGTATAAATAGAATGTATATTTACATGCCTGAGTATTATTTATTTTTAAAATAGAAAAAAAAGTATTAGCCGGGTGCTGGTGGCTCATGCCTGTAATCCTAGCTACTTAGGAGGCTGAGATCTGAGGATTGTGGTTCAAAGACAGCCCCAACAGGAAAGTCCGAGAGACTCTTATCTCAATCAAGTATCAGAAAACCAGAAGTAGTGTTGTGGCTCAAATGGTAGAGTGCTCACCTTAAGCTGAAGAGCTGAGGGACAGTGACCAGGCCCCACGACTGACAAAAACAAGAAAAAAAAGTCTTTCTCAATAACATTGATGTACCTGGAATATATTATGTTTGTTTATTGAAGAAGGCCAGGCAAAGAAAAGTAACAGCCTGATCTCTCTTATATAAGGAAATTCAAAACTGAATTTACACAAGGAGAGGGTAGTATGGTGGTTACTAAGTTAGGTGGAAGCATTGTGAAGATGTTTTTCAGAATGCTTTAAGATTATTCTTTTAATGATTAAACTTTTTTTTCTGCAGTCCATTTGTTATTTAAGTATGCTAGTTTGAGTTACAAGACACTACGGGGATCTCAAGACCATTAGATACTGTGGAACATTTTATGGTACATTTTAGTAACAATTGTATTTATATCTTCCCAGCAGGAGGATGATTTGAAGTGGGTAGAAGAGAATGTTCCTTCTTCTGTAACTGATGTGTAAGTGTTTGGATCATTACTACAAATATCATAGTTATTACAACTTTGTTACTATTTTGGCTGAATGAGCTGAAAACATACTAGTGAGTATAAGATGTCAAAGAATGATTAAAAGATTAGGAATAACATACAAACAAAAATAATTGCTGGTCACTCAGATGACATTTCTGCTTAGGAAGATTTAGCTTTCCAAAATTTTGAATTTCTTTCCATAGCTGCAATATTAATAAAACTTTGATCCTGTCACATCTGTACAATTTCAGTTGATTCTTGTTCATTTGTTTTTTTCTCCTTCAAAAAGAGTTGTTGATTAAATCATAGATTAGTTAAAAGTTTCAGATTGCATTCACTGTTCTACTTAGTGAACCACCTATGGCTTTATTTTACATTATTCACTGTAGTATTTCTCTCTCTGCAGAGCACTTCCAGCCCTTCTGGATTCAGATGAGGTTAGTAGTCCAGCTATGTGCAGAACCCCTGTGTGTCTAGTCTCTTAGTAGTAAGCTGTGAGTTACCTATTCAGGAAGGTTGTATTTATTTGGTTTAGTAATGTATGTAGGAATTATAATTGGTATGTTTGAAAAGAACAAGAATGGAAACACTTAAGATTTCAACATTCAAAAAGGTTTTCTTTGTTTATTGTTTTTGTTTTTCACTTTTCCAAAGTGATAGGGTCAGATGTAGGACTTAAAAAAATGTATAAAAATAAAAAGTTAAAATTGAGCCACAAAGCTTGGGCCTTGGCTGCTCACATAAGAACACCTTGATATACTTATCTGGGGACACCTGGTATCTCTTAAAAAAACAAAAAAACCCCAAAAACTGTCAGGTGCCGGTGGTTCACGCCTATCATCCTTGCTACTCAGTAGGTTGAGATCTGGGGATCGTAGTTCCGATGCCAGCTTGGCTAGAAAAAGTTCTTGACTTATTTCCAATAAAATACCCAAAAAGCTGGAAGTGTAGAGCACTGTCCTTGAGCAAAAGAAGCTCAAGGACAGTATGTAGGCCCTGAGTTCAAACTCCAGGACCTGCACCCAAAAAAAAAAATAGTATTTTGCTTTCTATTGTAGTTTTTTTGTCTTTAAGAAATTCAAGTTTTTGCCGGGCGCTGGTGGCTCACGCCTGTAATCCTAGCTACTCAGGAGGCTGAGATCTGAGGATCGCGGTTCAAAGCCAGCCCAGGCAGGAAAGACCGTGAGACTCCTATCTCCAATAAACAACCAGAAAACCGGAAGTGGCTCTGTAGCTCAAGTGGTAGAGCGCTTGCCTTGAGCTGAAGAGCTGAGGGACAGCGCCCAGGCCCAGAGTTCAAGCCCCACGACCGACCAAAAAAAAAAAAAAGCACATTAAGCCGGATTGGTGGCTCATGCCTGTAATTCTAGCTTACTCAGGAGGCTGAGATCTGAGATTGCAGTTCAAAGCCAGCCCTTTAAAGCCAGCCTGAGCAGGAAAGTCTGTGAGACCTTTTTTTTTGGTGGGTCATGGAGCTTGAACTCTGGGCCTGGGCATTGTCCCTCGGCAATTCAGCTCAAGGCTAGTGCTCTTATCACTTGAGCCACAGTGTCACTTTCAGCTTTTTCTATTTATGTGGTGCTGAGGAATCGAACCCAGGGCCTCATGCATGCAAGGCAAGCGCTCTACCACTGAGCCACCTTCCCAGCCCCAAGATTCTTCAGTTAACCACCAGAAAACCAGAAGTGGCACTGTGGCTCAAGAGGTAGAATGTAGCCTTGAGCTGAAGAGCTGAGGGACAGAGCCCAGGCCTAGAGTTCAAGCCCCACAATCGACAAACAAAACACATAAAATCTACCCTCCTGCCATTCTTATATGCAGTGTTAACTGGGTACACAACACTGCACAACAGGTTTCTAAGACTTCATCAGATATAATTTCATGAATTTATACTTCCTTGTAAAGATATCTCAGTTTGTTTACAAAACCCTCTACTATTCAATTTTATAGTATCTTGTGGTAATGCTGAATGTTGTGGCTAAATTTCTGTCTAAATTCTGTGTCTTCAACTTACATTCCTGAATTAAAAGTTGTGTAGATTCTTCATAAAGCTTAATTATATTTTTTTATCATTTTAATTGACTAAAATATACTTGTCATTCTGAGTTATAGTTTGCTATTTATTCAAAGGACCGAAACTTTTTTTTTTTTTTCTCTTGGGTTGGATCCTGGGGCTTGAACTCAGGGCCTAGACTCTTTTGTTCTTTTCTCTCTCTCTCTCTCTCTCTCTCTCTCTCTCTCTCTCTCTCTCTCTCTTTTGCTCAAGGCTAAGCATTGTACCTGGAACCACCACTTCCAGTTTGCTGGTAGTTAGAGATAAGATTCTCATAGACTTTCCTGCCCTGGCTGGCTTTGAACCAAGATCCTCAGATCTTAGCCTCCTGAGTTGGTAGGATTACAGTGAGCCACCAGCATCTAGACCTTTTGATTTTTTTTGACCTTGGATGAAACCTACATGTTTATATGCTTTGAAATCTTCATATATAGAAGTCATTGCTGTAAACATTTAATTAACAAACAAGTACTTCTGCAAAATGTATGTTTGGGTAGTTGACCTTGAAGATATTTGAACTATAGACCATATTATCTCAATGTACTTAGAATAATCCTTTGTTTACTCCCTAGGAACGAATGATCACACACTTTGAAAGGTCTAAAATGGAGTAAAAGATAAGAAACTTTGCAGTTGAAGTTGGCTAGTGTCAGGGAAGAGATCAGCATCTGTGTCAGTCTTCTCCATCCATGGATTAAAGCAGGCAATGTCATCCTGATCTGTTCCTTGATCTTTGTGCTCGGGAGCTGGCAAGAGGTGTCAGAACAAGGAGAACATCTTACTGGAAACACATTCATAGGATGAGAAAATCTACACGTTTCGTATTTACAACATTGATACTCTTTCTCTCCCACACCCAGAAACGGATATGTATGCAACTTATGTGTTTGTTGTTCCTGAACTCTCTATTTCAGTTGTTTAATTTGTCAAACTAAAAAGGTTAACATCGTCTAAAGGACTGTATCATCAGCACCATAATATGTAATTTTCAGGAGCAACTGCCTGCAGTTTTTATTTATTTCAGGAGTTGCATAGGTGATGGAGGAACTTGTTACTTACCTTTCAGTTTTCTGGGAAGTCATGGCAACATCTTGAAGAGGCAATTTTGACTAAAACATGGCCCTTCTGAGTTAAGCAGTCATGCTACTGTCTGTGACCAAAAGGAAAAAAAGAGAGAAACAGTTAAATGTGGTTCAGATTGTTAAAAAAAAAAAAAGCAAAATCAAGTGCAATTTTATTTACAATGGTGTATATTAAAGATTTTTCTATTTCAGATGTACTTTAAAGAAAAATGTTAGCTCTTTTGACATCTGCTATTGTGACACATCCCATTGCTGGCAATGTGGTGCACACTCCAAAACCTTGAACTACTGTTTTGTAAGCCCCTAAGGGGGGTTTTGTGGAGTCCTAGGCAATGTTTGGTTTGCCTTCATGCCATTCTCTGGGAGTTGCACTAGATACTAAGAAGCACTCCATCTCAGTGCTAGGATTGAGCACCTGCTCGAGGGACTGTGAGGCTTTGGAAGCGGGTGCTCGTGGAATGGAAACAGATCCTGCTGGCTTTTCAGTTCTTGCATGAAGTAGTGTGGAGGCCCTGGACTGCTGCTTGTTTTTTTTTAGGGTTGATTGTTCTAGTATCTGGTGTTGGTTTAGAAACTGTTTGTAAGGGACATCACAAGGTGATGGTATTCACTTGAAGCACTCTATTTCTGTTTTAATGGTTTTATCCAATTTTGCCTTCCTGAGATTTTTGTTCTACATAAAAAGCCCATTCCCCCTTTTAATATAAAAATTTAACAAAATATATTTTTCTCATTTATTTCAGACTTTCCCTAAGTACCCTTCTTTCTCCTTTTTTCTACAAAACAAACTTTCTTTCCATGGCTTTTATTACAGGTTTTGTTATGTTCGGTTGAAATCAACATCCACAATGACCATAATTTCCACTAACATGACAGTGAATGTGTTAACATTTTGGGTAGTATATCTCTACAGCCTGTGCTGTGGTCAGTAGACAGTATTCCTAAGGGACAGCAACATGAAGAACCAAGCGTATTCTCAATCTTAAACTTTAGCCAGAGGCTAGTGGCGTTGTCATGTGCTGCAGTTGTCCTTTAAAACTTAGCAGATGGATTAATAGTTTCTTTCATTGCAATAGGATAATTGGTCAGATTATTTTTTTCTAGTTTAAATGGGTCTTATGTCATCCACTATGGTAGTATTTATTCTTAAAAGAATTTTTGTTATTATAAAGGTAATATACCAGGAGGTATATAGTTATAGTTACATAAGTCAAGAGTACATTTCTTTTTGGACAATGCCACTCCTTCCCTAGTTCTCTCTCAATTTTTCCCTCCCATCCCAGTGGTCATATTTGTCAGTCATGGGGCTTGAACTCAGGGCCTGGCTTAAGGCTCCCAGTCTACCACTTGTCCCACAGTTCCTGGTGGTTAATTGAAGATAAAAGTCTCAAGGTCTTTTCTCTCTAAGATGGTCAGATATTTTTAATTTTTAATGCATTTTGGTATTGACTTGAGACTAAGGATAGTATACATTTTGTAACTTGGGGTCAGATAATTCTATTTATGGCTTCCTGTGTTACTGAGTAGATATAGTGTGCCTTTAGAAAAGTTCACAAGGAATATATAGTTTCACATCCTATTTCCTTAGTTTATATTCTTGGTCTCAGAATCTGGAACTAAAAAGGTATTTGACTTTTTTCTATCACAGCAACTAGTAAGTCTAAAATTTCAGGAAGGGACACATACCTCTCTTACTAAGAAACTGATAATTGGGAAAGTGGTGCTGTGGCTCAAGTGGTAGAGTGCTTGCCTTGAGCTGAAGAGCTGAGGGACAGTCCAAGACCAGAGTTCAAGCCCAAAAACAAACACCAAAACTCATAATTGGCCTGGGAAGGTGGCTCAGTGGTAGAGTGCTTGCCTTGCATGCACCACATAAACAAAAGGCTGGAAGTGGTGCTGTGGCTCAAGTTGCAGAGTTCTAGCCTTGAGCAAAAGAACTCAGGCACAGTGCCCAGGTCCTGAGTTCAAGCCCCACAACCAACAAGAACAAAAAAAGAAACTGATAATATATAAAGTATCCTAGGCTAGTTGTTTTTAACGTTACATCATAGATTCACTTTCTTAAAGTTATGCTTTAGACCCATCTGCTTAAGTTTATGACATTCTTGGTGCTTTATTAGATCATTCTTGGACCTCAAATTCCGTTTTCTAATCTCCACGGGGGATACTAAGGCAACCAGATAGGATCCATATGAAGAATGATGTCTTTTGCTTCTTAAGAAGAATGTTAGGATGGGGAATCTTGGGACAGTTGAGTTGGTAAAAGTATGATCATCAGCTTTAAAAAGCTTTATTTTTTCTGACTCTCAAAAGTTAGTGAATTAACGCTTGCTGCCAAAACCTTTGCTACTCAAAATGTGGTTCAGGGATCAGTAGCAGTGGTAGTTCCTGGGAGCCTGTTAGAAGGCTCATTTGAGAGTCTCATGCTGTCCCTACTGAATCAAAATCACACAGTATGTCCAAGTGCTTTGTGTGCACTAAACGGAAGAACCCATTGGCCTAATAACCATACTGGATCACTGGAAGTAATTTTGCCAACCAGTGGTCGTTTGGCATAGACATTTTTTGGCAACATGTCTGATCTTAGGGTGCTTTGGTGTCTATCTGGTGGATAGAAGCTAGGAATACTGCCAAAACATCACAGTGTATAGAACAGCTCTTCCTACCACATACACTCAAGGAATTATCTTGTCCTAAATACAACTCCCCTCATCAAATGTCTAGGGCTTCTGTCGAACCTTAGTCTCATTAGGTGATTCCCAAGCTTTTAAGTGCACATCCCTCCCCCCACCCCCTCTAAGTGTCTTATTAAAAGAGATGGCTGTTCCCTCTAGAATGGTTCAGTCAAGCTGGAATAAAGCCTGAGACTCCCATTTCTACCAAGGTGATACTGATGCTTCTGGCCTAGAGACCACACACAACCTCCCGTCTGCAACAGCTTTAAAAATATGAACTCTAGGGAAGGTGGCTCAGTGGTAGAGCGCTTGCCTTGCATGCCTGAGGCCCTGGGTTCAATTCCTCATCAGCAGAAAGCGTAGAGCGCTCGCCTTGAGCTGAAGAGCTGAGGGACAGCGCCCAGACCTGGAGCCACGGCTGACTCTCCAAGGTGTGATAGTAATAGACGACTTTTCATTGACAGCTTCAAGTACGCCAGAGCGGAAGGGGCGGGGCCTCGGCGGCGGAAGGCGCACCTCGGCAGCGGAAGGGGCGGGGTTAAGTCAGCAGGAAGTCCGACGCTGGCGATGGCTGAGTTGCCGGAGGTACTGTAGCCGGGGTCCCGGGCCAGGTCCCGGTCTATCTTTTTCTCCTCCGGCCTGGTTCTGCCCGCCAGCCTCGTCCGGACTACTTCAGCCGGGACGGCAGCAGCGACTCTCTCCTGGCCACCATGCACGACGCTTTCGAACCGGTGCCGATCCTGGAAAAGCTGCCTCTGCAGATCGACTGTCTGGCTGCCTGGGGTGAGCCGCGGGGGCCGCGGGCCGCGGCCGGGTCAGCCCGGAAGCACCGGGCTGTGGGGCCGAGTCTGGGACGCTCGTGGGGGCTGCCTGCGCCGGTCTCGGAAGACGCAGAACCGGAGGGACGTTACACCCCCTCTCGTGAGCTGTTTATTGGAGGTTAAGCTTGGCTTATTGATGGTCTTTAGCTTTGCCCATTTCGAGTCTCACAGAGTTTTCAGTGTAGAGAGGCAAAGCAGTGGGACGTTGGGAGTCGGCCAGGGGACTTGGGCTTGTTAAGATGCTTGTGTTGTTTTCTAGGTGAAAGATAGATTATCTATTGGCATTGAACAAGGTAAAACCTGTCCCTGTAAGTGTACACTTGTAGTTGACTTTTTTTTTTTTTGCTATGGGTAGCTCATAGACTCTTAAAGTTTTTCATTGTTATTGTAAAGGTGATGTACAGAGGACTTACAGTTACATAAGTTAGGTAATGAGTACATTTCTTTTTGGAGAATGCCCCCTCTTTCCTAATTCTCGGTTCTTTTTTACAAAAAAAATAATAATTGTACAAAGAGGTTTCAGATTTCATAAATCAGGTTCAAAGTACAATGTATCTCGATCAGTGTCAGGCCTGAAAAGATAAGGGGCTCTCCCAAAATTGACAGCCTCCTAGTTACTTAGGAGGCTGAGATCTGAGGATTGCAGTTTGAAGCCAGCCCAGGCTGGAAAGTATGTGAGACTTACCTGCAATAAACTCAGGAAAAGTCGGAAGTAGTGCTGTGTCTCAGATAGCAGAGTGCTAGACTTGAGCACAAAGAGGCTCAGGGATAGTGTCCAGGCCATGTGTTCTATCCCCAGTACTGAAAAAAAAAAAGTGTGTGTAGGGAGTGAGATAAGGTAGATTTGTCTTAACCAGCAACTCAAAGAATAGCAAAAGTACTTTTTCCAGAAAGTGACGCTGTGGCTCAAGTGGTAGAGCACTAGCCTTGAGCTAAAGATCTGAGGGACAGCACCCAGGCCCAGAATTCAAGCCCCACTACTGACCAAAAAAAAAAAAAAAATCCTTTTTCCAGAACAGAATGTGATACTGAAAAGTCTATCCAGACACATTCTCTCTCCTTTTCTTTTTTTTCCCCCCTTGTTAGTTATGGGGCTTGAACTCAGGCTTGGGTGCTTATATCCCTGAGCTCTTGCTTTACACTAGAGCTCTACCACGTTGAGCCACAGTTCCACTTCCGGTTTTTGAGTCATTAATTGGAGATAAGAGTCTCAGGAAGACTCTTCTGCCAGGGCTAGCTTCCACCTAAGATGCTCAGATCTCAGCCTCTTGAGTAGCCAGGATTATAGGAGTGAGTGACCTGTGCTCAGCTTATATTCTAACTCTTAATCTAACAGAGTGATTAATTGCCTTATATCCAAAGTATCCAAGTTACCCAGCTGTACATAGAAGAGCATCATAACAGATTGTCAGGAAACCTAATGCACAAAACTTATAATCCTTTTTGGGATTGACTAATGCAGGCAGGCATCTTCTGTGTTCTGGAAATCAGTTTAAAACGTTGGCTCTCAACTACAGTCATTTTGAACTTACCCATGAGTGGTTGTTTCTGATCAGAGTCCCTAAGAGCCAAGTAGAAGTCATTCAGTCTTTCCTGTTAATGTCCATAAATGAAGGGCCTTTAAAAAGGTAGCTTAAACCCTTAATCAGATTCTACACTGAACAGGATATCCAGAAGGAATGCCATGGGATACTGGTGGTGACTGGCATCCTGTTCACTATCAATTAACACTGCCACACAGTCATCCTTGCAGAATTTTTAATGGCCCCGTCAGCTGGCTCCCTTCGCTTTAATGTGTGCCTCACCTCCTTTAGCACCAGCCTCTCTAAAATTATGTCTCTCCAATAAAGCGGTCCCAGCCCTTTAGAGATGAGAATCTTCTTCCAGACATCTCAAGAAAGCCTCTATATCCTGGAGGAAAATGCTCTTGGAAGAAATTAACACAATTGAAAATCTGAGGTAATGCATGGAGAAATTGCTTTGTTTCTTCATCAAATATGTATTAGGTACCTAGAGGCATTCTCCCTGCTAGGGACAGAATGAATATAAAAGCCTATTCCTAGAGCACACCCAAAAATGTGGGAAACAAAAATGTGAACAGATTGTGATACAAGATGAATGGTACTAGAGACATATCTGCCTAATTACTGAAGCCTGTAGGAGGTGTAGCCACCTTAGCCTTAGGCATATGCCTCTGAAAAGGATGGACACTGCTTATCACAGCT